TCTCTATTTTGCTCCATGACTTTACAGCTCTCTCAACCACTGACTGCAATGCATGCCTGCTAAGCCCTCTCTTTGTGCTCACAGACTGCTTGCATCCCAGTACACCCCTGCTTGTTGCTTTGTGCACATCTCTCTCACTTACACGCACTAGCATCCTCCCATCTTCATACTCTGCTGACTGCTCATGTGCCCCTAAGATTGTTGCGTTTGGACACACTGACCTCCCACTTCTGCACTGTTCTGTCCCCTTCTGATCAACTGATTGCAATGCTCTCACATCCTGTCTTTTCCCTGGCTGCCACCTGCCTGCGTGGTCCTTGCTCAGACCTTCTTCAACAAACACAAACATGATTGGCCTTCCTTCATCCTTTCCAAGCACAGCTTCTTGGATTGCCTGTTCTGCTCTCTCATTAACCCTCACTGACATCCTTTGAATTGGGCATTGTTTGCTGGGAACTTCCCACTGCTTGACTGTCAAGCTTTTGCACTGACTTGCACAAATTCCTTCCTGGGTCACTGCTGCCTGGCTGTCACATGTTCTCATTCACACACACTCAATCTCTTCAAATTATCCATTGAGGCAACAAGCACCCTCTTGTTGATCTTCCTGGGACAACACATGACCCAGCATCCTCTCCCCCACAGCCAGAGACACAGCTTGTAAGGACAACAACCACTCTGCACTCTCTGGCTGGCTGTGCCAAAGGCACTTCTGTTCAAGACTGTGCTGCCTCACAGTGAGGGATGGGGCTTACAAAGGGGACAACAAATCCACACCATCCCATTGACTATCCTTGTACTGCGCTTGTTGCAGCATGCCCTGTCTCGAAGCTATAGACACATGTTGTAAGAACAACAACTGCTCAGCACCACCTGATTTCCTGTTGTCATAGGAGACATGTCATGCCATGCGCCCTCTCATAGCCAGAGGCAAAGCTCACAAGCCTGAGTATCACACTACACCACCTAATTGGCCATCCTCACAGAACACATGTCTTGTCATGTGCCCCCTCATAGCCAGAGGCAAAGCTCACAAGCCTGAGTATCATCCTGCACCACCTGATTGGTCATCCTCATAGAACACATGTCATGTCATGCCCCCCCCTCATAGCCAGAGGCAAAGCTCACAAGCCTGAGTATCATCACTCACCACCTGAGTGGCTATCCTCATAGGAGATATGTCTTGTCATGCACAGCCCCATCCCCAGAGGCAAAGCTCACAAAACAGCACGAGCATGATGCGCTGGGATTCAGACGCAGGTGGCATAAATGTAGACAAAAATTACACAGTGCGTGACTTGAACACCGGTCACTGCCACGCACAATCAGCAACTTAAATGCAAACAATGACACTACCACTTGGCAATGCATGCTGGTGTTCTGCAAGCTAGATATCAGGTTGTTGTGTGTACTGTCTGAGTGTTCTGCAAGGGCTGGGTGAAATTCTAGCGTGGTTGACAAAGGTATGATTACATCTTGTCTTGGCTGACATGCGCAGATTACTAACAAACATAAGCATGCCACATGCCCAGACTTGTCAGGATGCACTGCACACATATGGGGCACGCGTATGGCGCGCATATGGGAGCGGACGGTGCGTATGGCGGTGTGTGCATGTGAGTGTGTGCGTGTGTGCTTGTGTGTGGAATCAAATTTGATCTCACGGTCAGAATTGCGCGCGCTTCTGTCTGTATGGCAATGCATATGGCGCGTATGGCGGGGCATATGGCGCGTATGGCAGCGCGCATTTGGCGCGCGTATGGGAGCGTAGGGCACGTATGGCACTGTATGGCCCGCGTTTTGTCTGCGCGCTTTTACGGTGTAAATGCGGAAGTCCATGCATCCCCAGTGTCCAGCTGCTTGACGTGCTTGCGTGTGTGTGGGATAAAATTTGATCTCACAGTCAAAACCTGTGCTTGCGTGCTTGTCTTGTGTCTGTGCATGCGTGCATGCGTGTAGGATCAAATCTGATCTCACAGCCAAAGCCTGTGTGGTCGCAGGGGTCACATGCGCGCGTGCGTGTGGGCGTGCAGGATCAAATTTGATCTCATAGCCAGAGCGCACACATCTGTATGGCAGCTCAATACATGCGGGCTTGGGTGTGCAATCAAGTTTGATCTCACAGTCATGTGTGTGCGTGCGTGCGTGCTGCTGGCATGCTTGGGTGTGGGATCAAACTTGATCTCACAGCCAAAATCTATGCGGTGCGCGTGCATGGGTGTGTGAGTGTGTGTCTGTGCGCGTGTGTGGGATCAAATTTGTTCTCACAGCCAGAACGCACTACCGGCCGGAGAACCGGGACGCGCTACTTGAGTATGGCGCATGTATGGCGCGCGTATGGCAAGCGCCGGTTTACGGCGTGAAATTTTCGAAATCAGCTCTGCAGACGTCCACAGGCGTCTTTTTGGCCGGGTGGGGCCTAGTTTACGGCGTAAAATCCTCACCTTATAACAGTAGTCTGCGCATCTGCTTTGACGCCGTAGAAGTTGCGACTCATATACATGGGCACTAACATCCCACCTGCAACACTTTGTTGCTGTTTGTGCATTGCTTGCGTGATTCAAATCTGATCTCTTAGACGTGGCTATGCTTTCTGTGCATTGCCTGGCTGGGTCGGAGTGGAGCTTGCGGCCGGCGCCAAATTGTGTGATTTGGGTTGCAGGTCTCGACCAAGAGGCACTCGATCAGAAACCAGTGCACAATTGTCTCCACTTGTGAGTCGCATTGATAGGACCAACAAAAAAGGTCGCAAAAGCCGCGTGACATTGAAATTTCCTCTAGCGGGGCCATCCTTCGTGATTTAGTGCCCTGTCATCTTGCAAGCCTCGACGGGCGGCTCAATTCCTACAAATGACGCAAAGCGAATCAAGTTTGCCTTTTTGATGTCGTCAAGCATCTCGCATACGCCGTTACGAAAGACTGTCGTGATCCAGTGGATGGCTCGCTGGATGATGACTTGAAGTTGAAACATGTGCCACGGATTGGAAATCTTGCCCATCCAGATTTGCGCCAAATGCTGAGAGGCGCGTCCATGGTTTCGGGATGTCAGGGCCCATCCACACCACAACAGAGCGCAGCGTCACGCACCACATCAGTCTTGCGAAAATGACGATTGATTTCGTAATCGAAGGCTATCATCACCTCCCATAGATCGCCTTGATTGCAAAACACCAGAATGGGTAGAGGCTCTCCCTGTTGACCAGCAGGTGCGTGAGCGCGCTTCTCACGAAGATTCCGCAAGTCCCGCAACATCTTGAGCGCCATGGCAGCCGTTCCCGCTGCTCGATTTTGAGCAAAGTAGAGCACCTCCAAGTCGGTCACGTACTCGTGCAAGAGACAAGGATACGCCACTTCTCGGAGCGAGTCGGATGGCCATGGATGTAGACCCAATTGTAGCCTTGCGGCTACAAGAAACTCTTCTCCGAGCGATGAAGCACTGTCAAGTTCTGGCAACAGCCCAAACGCAACATCTGGCTTTGGAGTCGAAATCGGGTCGCCTTCGCCCGATAGAATGCCGACCGGCTCGTCCCATACCTCTGCGCGTCTGAGAAGAGGTTGTGCAACCAACGTGAAGCGGTTGGTGGGCGCCTTTTGGCCGCTGACCCGTTGCCAGTGCTCGAACATGCCACACTCACGAGGTGCCGAGCTGAGGATGCGCATGCAGATTCGCCATCACCTCCAGCTCCAAGTTTCTCCATTCAGCCTTGGACTTGCCATAGCAAGACTTGACCCGGCCAGTGCGGATGGTACGCGCCCGCAACAATGCTTTCTCGCATCCAAGTGGACTGGCCACTGTCTCATCTCGCACAGCGTGCACGGGAACATATGACATCAGACTCAGCGTGCCCTCCAGTTGCTCCTTCTGCGACGGCAAACCAAGCAATGCAGACGATCCAGCTTCGATTCAGCACTCGCTGCAGTTTATGCTCGTGTCTCCCTTCGGCGCGCGCGTACCTCTACGGCCGAAAGCGTCCCAACAAAGTTGTTAGCCCTGAGAAAATTGGCAAGTCGAGCGACCGATGGAGGCCATTCGCTTCGACTCAGAGCGTCGATGAAGATGCCAGCTCTTTTGAGATTGTTGTTGCGATACGCGCGGCTGTCCGTGAGGTTGAATGAGCTGGATGCGTCGCTGGACATGTTGTGCGCTGTGTGCGGAAGAGGTGTAGATAGATTGTCATCTCATGCAAAGAGCGCGCGCGGCATGACGTGGGCCGAATGAGAGATGTTACATTCGGCACGGAGCGGTAATGGCGACTCGGGCAGATGGACAGGCAGATGGAAGGGGAAAGGGGAGAGCGTTGTTGTGATGATTCTGATGAGCGCAGCATGCTGCGATCAAAGCCGTGGGCAGAGTGGGCAACCACACCTGCAGCTGACTTCAGACACCGCCGGTCCAACGAACACTCTTGCATGCGGGCCGAGAATGCGCACAGCCGCGGATACCTGTCTTCGCAACAATTGAAGGTCATTTGTTCAGATCGCCTTTCCATGCCATACGTATCATCAATCTCACTTCGACGCTCGAGACGTGCTGTGCCACTCCATCGGTTGTTGCGTCAAGAATTGGAACATCACTGGCCCTTCCGCATCCGTCGTCCCTACAACATACTTCATTGGCTCAGCACAGAACGCAGCGACATACGGCAAGGGAGCGGTGGAGGGTGGTCTGTAGAAACGGAGGAAGCGGATGGATGGCATGGAGATAAGCAGCGAGTGGAGGAGGACGACGCTTGAGAGGTGGTGAGGTGTTACTGTAGAGATGGCATCATTCTGCTAGAGGCGGAACAGGGTAGACGCTCAACGGGCGAGTCGAATTCATTTTGAGTTGGCTGGAGAAACAGCGCTTTGGACTACGGAGGGCAACCTGTGCACGTCTTTGGATCGCATGTAGGGCAGTTGGGTGGCTTGCAAGTCTTGAGGACCTTGCAGCACAGCATGCAGGCGTTGCCTTTCTTCGGTGAACCCTTGTTGTTCCAATTGCCCTCTGGTCTCTTGTCCACGACGTCGAAGGGCATCGAGACAATGTCGGAGCGCATGGCCAGCGGCCCATCAATCCTCATCGAGACCTCTGAATCGCGTTTCCCGAGCGGTGGAATCTGGGGTGGGCAGCCGTTGCAGTCGTCGCTCCCGCACTCCACGCATGGTCCTGTGCCAGCCTGACAGGCTTCGCGAGTAGCACAGCAGGCATTGCATGCTTTCCTGGGTAAAAGAGTCACGCTGGTCTCGACGGAGCGAGTCTCGGCCCTCGTGTGCAGCGAAAGGGTGTTCGGCGGACAGCCCTGGCAGTCGAAGGCGCTGCAATTTACGCACGGTCCATTGTTTTTGCGACATGCTGCCACCGTCGCGCAGCAAGGTTTGCATAAACCCACGTTGGAGGGAACAGGCGTAGTATCGGTGCCGGCTTGACCCTTTTCCTCTCTCTTTCTTAAAGTGCTCACTTCTCTGGCAGCTTCTAGAGGAGAGCGCAATTGACGGCGAATGTAATTGTGTGGGCAACTTGTGCACTGTGACCACGAACAACTCTCGCATCCTTGCTCCTCTCCGCAACCCTTTGGCTGTTTGCAGCAAGCATCGCACTTTCCAGCCCTGCGGAACATCGATATAGCAAATTCTGTCGGAGTGCTGATGCTGATCGCCTTCCTTTCCAGCTCAATGCTCGCGTCATTTGCTCCCACCTGAGCAGTCTCGCGCTTGCGGGGCGGATGTCCCGGAGGGCAGCCAAAGCATTGATCGGGAGCGCAGACTTCGCAACTGTAGCCACCGCAGGCCAAGGGCGCCGTACAGCAATAGTCGCACTTGCCCGCTCGGCGGGAAAGAGGCAGGCCCAGCGAGGCTGGAGCCATTGCACTCTCGGTCCTACGCTCCAGAGCGTGGGCCTCACCAGCCGAGACGATGAGAGGTTCGCGACGGCGATGAGGGGGCTTAGGAATGGAATTCGACTTGGGACAGCCCGCACACTGTACTCCACTGCAGGTGCCGCAGCCCTGATGATTGCCCTCGTCCTTGGTGCAAGCGGGATGCAAGAGACAGCAGCTTAGGCAGGATTGCGACGGGAGCCTGCGGAAGAGCGAGAGACTAAAGGTAGTCGGACTCGGCACAATGTTCGACTTGGGGTCCAGCGAATCGAATTTGCTAGCGTCTTGAAGAGGCTCGCGGCGCGAAATCTGGATGGGCAGTAGAAATGGGAAAGGGTCAGAGCATCCAACTCCAGGTGCCGCCTGCAGCGGTCATGAAGCAGGAGAAGGACGCAGCGCACATACGCATCGTGCAGTGGCCGACTCGCCTTGATACCGTGAACAGCATCATCACGACTTACCAGCGGGGTAGATTGCTGACCGCCATGCAGTCCTACATGTACACTGCGGATCTCGAGGGCTAAAACCGGCGAGGCGGAGAGCCAAGCGCACAGGATGGCAGCCAGCAGTAGAGCAGGAAGCGCTGAGCTCGAGAGGGACCAGCGTCCGCGGCTATACTTGATGAGCGTCATGTTGCTCGTTGAGATGTTATAGAGCGCGAGCGTGAGCGAGCGTCCTTGCTGCTGCAAGCAAAGCGTGACGATCAGCGAGGGTGTCGGAATTGGTGTAAAGCTTAGCAGCGACCGCCCTGTCGTAGCTGCACGGTGCTTGACCACTCACCTTGGGATGTATGCACTTTGTATGCTTGCAATGGGCTTGGTTCTTGGTGAGTCGCATATGAGGACAAGCTGAAGAAATTTTTGAGTCTTGCTTTGAGAGGCAATCCTCGACGCGAAATGGCGTCGCTTTTATACCGGACCTCGTCACACTGATGCGCGCCTCGCCGCTCTCCTACTGCTGGACCGCAAAATTGCCTGACCACGCTGAGTAGCCTTGGCACGAACAACGAGTGAACGTGCCAGCGAGGGCAGAATCTGAGGGCAGCGGACTTTGAGTCTGCGTCGCACTCCCGACCATCCTACTTGACGCCGTCCGGCAAGCTGCGCACAGTGTTTCCGTCACTCCGCGGGACATTGTGGTATCTTGACAGTCCCGCTAATCTAGGAGCGAGGTGTGGACATAGGCGAGGAAGAGTGAGCTTGCATCCGTGCTGACCTAGTGCAACCCGGATGTGGTGACCCTGAGGCGCTGGCGCACCCCGCTCAAGCCGCGCATCTAGGCGTGTGGGACCCCATCACAGCGTAACGAGTTCAGGAACGAGTTCAGTTGGCTGAAGGTGTACCGAGGAGACATTCGAAGCAGCCAGTGTTGAAAGCTGGTTAGAGTCACCCGGCGACAACAGGAAGGAGCCCACAAGGATTGGCGAGACCCGAGTGCAGCCAAGACAGCACGTTCGTTGATGCTTAGTGACCCTCTGCGAAGCGACATTTGTTGGAGGCCAAGCCCTTTCGTCTGCGCGTCCCGTGCCATCGTCACTACTCTGGCGCGGTCCCGGGCCCTCGGAGGGAGCACGCGAGGCTGTATTGATTCGGGGAGTGTACCCCAACTATGTATCATTGCGCAGGCCGATGACCGTTCTTCCACCCAGCTTTGATACCAATTCATGGTAATCGATTGATAGTGCCGAGCTTTACAGATGTTATTGTCGGAGCGTTGCATCACTCGGTGCGCGACCTTGACACGCACTTCAACACGCCCCCCGCACACCTCGACGTGCTGAACTGCTCTCCCGGTAGGTATACCAAGCGCAGCTCAATATATTCCCGCACACCTCGATACGTACGCCGAGTGTGAGGGCGCTCATTGACGCCATAAGTCGCGGTAAAACTGCAGCGCCAGTGACCGGGTAAGTATGAATGCATATCTTTACGCCTTGGATCGGCACGCGAAGGTCTAGGCTCACCTTTGGGAAGACTTCCGAGGCGAGATGAGGTACCGCCGCTAGAAACTCTTTGAGGACCGGGTTCTGGCGATGAATCTGATGACAAAGTCCCACACACGTCAGCACAGACTAGACATCGCGGCTGAAGCTGAAGGCGCACCTCGAAAGCTTCGAGCCCAGTGTAGGCTTCGTATATGTTGAGGTAACTTGGATCGTGCACCCCGCGCGAAAGGCGATACTGCGGACATCCAGGTATGGCCACTGCGCTCAGTCGCCAACAATACCGCAAGAAACCGCGTGCACCCCTCGAAGCTCACGGTAGTGGTGCCGGGTTCCTTGTCGGACAAGGCGACCTTGGAGATCTCGGTAATGTAGCGAATGATCTCTTTGGCGCTGTCTTCGTTGCGAGCCACTATGCTGATATCAGATATCGGCCGAGAGCTCGATAGCGTGTGAGTTGTTGGAAACCTGAGCCGGCGCGCGCGCGCTGCCCTGCGCTCGTCAGCAGCAAGACTCACGTCACTTCCACAATGAAGGGACCGGTCGTGGGCACCGCGGCTGCGGGGGAGAATGTCGCTCAGCATCGCCCGACATCTCGCGACTGGCTCAGTCCTGCCGCAAGTGAAGCAAGCGCATAGACTCACTGAGATCATCCTTGGCAAATGACATGGTCGGCTTGGCTGTGCTGTGTGACGATGCAGCTGTCTCGACATCCTCGGATGGTGAATGTGCAGACGAAGCCTTTGCACATGCCCATCCATCCAAATGCCACCCTGAGAGCAGCGGGTGGAGGCTGCATCGCGGACAAGCTGACGCGGCGGTGGGCCGCTTGCTAGCGCATTGCGTGCATGAACGATGCAGTGCAGTCGTGGGTGCAGTCTGTGCTTGGCATCAGTTCTCGATTCTACATCCTCAAGCCCCTCACCATTCACATTCTTTATCCCCGCCGCTCCGGCGGTGGCCACACCCTACGGCGCCTTTGAAATCTAGTTCCAAGATCACCCATTCTTTCTGCATCCCACGCGTCCCTGTCAGACCTTGGCCGCCACTACAAGGATGGATATATTTCGCCTCAGCTGTCCACTAGAATACATGGCTGAGAGTGGCACAAGGCTAGCACGTGTCAAAAACAAGTGTCTGTACGGCTGCAAATATAGCTTCATCCCGTGGAGAGGAGAATCTTGCCAACGCGACGAGCAGAGACGGCCTGATGAGCCGCTGCTGCTTGGTTCAGCGGAAAGGTTTGAGCGATCTTGACTTGGAATGAGGTGGATTGGATGAGACTGTTGAGCTGTCTCATTGCAGGCTGAGCAATGGCTGGATTTTCATTGTAGTTGGTCAAGTCGTAGCGTTGCAGATGGACGTCTGGACGAGACTCGGGCTCTGGCATCACACCCAGCGGATAAGCCACGTGTCCACCTTTTCGAACGCCGGCAATGGTAGCATCCAAGCTTGCCCCTCCCACGAGCGCCAATGCAGCATCGACACCACCCGGTGCGAATTGCCCGACTGCCGCGGCAATGTCAGCGGTTTTGCCGTCGATGGCCGCATCCGCTCCAAGCTCTCGAGCCAGCGCCACGCCATCTTCGCCCGAAGCAATGGCGAGGACGCGAGCTCCCAAAAGCTTGGCTAGCTGTACGGCCACCTGACCCGTATCGCCGCTGGCTCCACTGATGACTAGCGTCCGTCCAGACTGCACCTGCAGCTCTTTTGCCAGTCCAACCAGAGCCGTGAGAGCGATGCTGGGCATCGCACCTGCTTGGTCCAGTGGCAAGCCTTTGGGCACCGGCGAGACGGCCTGTGCATCCAGGACGATGTACTCGGCATAGTGTCCCATGCCCATCGAGTAGACTTGCTCGCCTACCGCAAGGTGGGTGACGCCTGTGCCCACTGCAGCGATCGTTCCGGAACCGTCTGATCCTATGATGTACGGAAAGGTCGGCGCATGGCCCAAGACTTGTGCGAAGCCGCCTTCGCGAACAAAAGGGTCCCAGGATGCCACGCTGGCAAAGGCGATCTTGACGAGTACTTGACCCGGGCCCACGCTGGGCACAGGTAGTTGGGCCGGCTCCAGCACGTCGATACCGCCAAACTTGCGAATAATGATGGCGTTCATTTCGCGAGGAATGGACGACATGGTGGATGTGTAATGGGCTGGATGGGAGGTCAGAGGGGGTTTCTATAGCTGCAGAGAGGCTGATCGCTGCGTCACAATCGGTCTCATAAAATCTTCCAAGCTGCTATACGACCTTTATATACCTTTCCTTTGACCTTCACATCCTTGGCATACGGGCCCACCTTGCTCTAGAGCGCGACCCGACGCCGACTTGAGAATTACGCTCTCGGTTCAGAAGGGCGCGGTCGCAGCGGCGCGGCAGGCAAGGATGCCGTTCACTTGCTCGCGACCATAATCCCGCAATTGCAAGTCAAGTCAGACGTTTGTGCACGGTAGCCCAAGAAATGACGACAAAGCCACAAGGCACGGAACCTGCTGAGTGGGGACGTGCTGAATGAAGCCTTTGGAAGGGATCTCGCGATCGTCACATTATGCGCGGCCCCCGCAAGGCTGACTTGTCTGCTCGGAGTTTGCGCTTTTGGAGATGAGCGGCTCCTTTGATGGCATCCGCGATCACGACTCGACAAGTCGATCACCATCGCGAACCGTGGATTTGTGTCGGCAGTACTCCTCGGAGCCTCGGCGAATCGGCGCAAACATGACGCATGTGACCCGCTTGGCACCGCGATTCGCTTCGCGTTTCGCACGCACGCACGCGTGCACTCCCCGCTATGGCCATCGCCCTGTCTTGGCAAATCGGGCCATACAGCAGATTCACCATCGGGCCCGGGCATTATCAGCTACACCCGATCAAGGCATAGTTGTGCTCGCTCTCGACTCTGTGGCGCGCTCAATGTGGGCTTCCCAGCCCAGATTACTCCCCATCCATACGCTCACGACTCGTGCGTGTGCTGTGCCGAATGTGCACGGACCGCCGAAGCCTACCTTTCATGCACATCTCTTGCACGCCTCTCGGAATTCCGCCGGAGGTGAAACGTCCAGGTCATCCATCCATCCACCATCGCGTTCACCGCGTTGCGTGGTTGAAAGGCAACTGATTGACTGATGTTGCGTGATGCAGTAGTGATCGTCCACACAGCCGTGACTGTAATTTTTCGCCCCCGCACCCGTGACTGCAAATATACGTCCGAGTCTCAAGTGACCGCTCGGCGTTCGTCACAGATCCGATCAAAGCCTCGCTTCTTGCTTCGCGATGGCGATGACGTCCCAGTCATCAGCACACGACCCATTCACCTACCTCTCCCGCGGTCGTTTTCATCGCTGCATCTCTTGTGCGCGCACGTCCAGCCGCGTCTCTTTTGCGCTCGTAGGCGATTGGGAGACGCGCGCCAAGACGGGAGAGGATGCAGATCTAATCAAGAGCGACTTGCCTCAACGCTCTCGTCTGACGCTCTACGTTCCCCCTTCTGGCTGTTCGCGATGGATGGGAATCATACTGGACGCTGTGGCACGACAGCGTGGTGTTTGCATGGTCGTACCTGACAGACCCGGGGTAGGCGCCACACCTCCCGTTCCATCTCACTCCAGAATGCGAACCTCGACACTGCAAACACTGTCGATGCTAGAGGCGCTGGGAGTGGAGCAAGTGGACCTCTTTACCCATTCAGGTGGTTGGCTGTACATGCTCGACCTGCTCAGGACTAGACCTGAGCTCATCATCCCTTCTCCCTCGGGCCGAGCTTCCAACCTCACGCTCTGCTCGCCATTCGTACCTACGCACCTCTCTTCATCGAGTCTCGGCCTTCTCCCCGCCAGCCTGGTGCGCATGACACCTTCCGCCGCAAACCTGCTGGGCAGCTGTGAGAAAGCCATCAGCTGGTCTGCTGGCGTAGGACAGAACGTCAAGAGCATGTGGGGTTCCAAAGAGACGCCAGAACGTTTGCATGCTTCCAAACGCGACCAACTGAAACGTGCAGCCCGAGAGAGGGAGAAGAGCAAGAGGACTCATCCCAACGCAACCTTTCATCCGCCCTACACCACTCATCTACACCTCGAATTAGACGCCGCCGTCGTAGCCGAACATTCGCTTGCCGGCGGATCATCGCGCAAGCCGCAAAGCGGAAGCAAGCTGCTGTTCGAATGCTACAAGGCAGAGTCGGGCATCGAGACGACTACGCAAGAGTTCCTGTTCTGTCTAGGCAAGACGTCTGGCATGAACAATGCAGAACTGGAGACGTGGCTAAGCGCCAACCTGCGCGAGCTTGCTCGCCTATTGAGGTCTCGCACAAAGCGTTGTTCTGACACGCCGGATGGCGGAGCACCGACCGCGGCACCCCGGTTGCTCCTCGTATGGGCAGACCAAGATTTCATGACTCCACAACGTGGGCGCGACCATCTCGACGATTTGCTGCAACGGACGGGACTTGCAGAAGCATGCTCTTCCACGCACCGATGGATTGCTGCAGGAGCCGGGCACGACGATCCGCCCGGGTCCCTGGACATTATGCGTGGCGTCTTTGCCTTCTCAAAAGGCGAGAGCGAGATATTGGCGCTGCGAGCGGCCCAGACATCGGCGCAAGCTGAATGCTTTGCTGCCCACAAAGGCGCTCCCGATGAACGCAGTGCCTGCGCATCTTGAACACCCGCAAGTTGTAGTGTACACCAAGGCCGCGCTAGCCCGAACCGCATGTTGAGATTGTTCGGCTAGTGCTGTGCTGGAATCTCCTGTCGCCTCTCCTTCCCGCTCACTCGCCTTCTATACCGCTCGGCAAAAACTCCCTCATCTTCGTGGTGCACTGCAATGGCGTTTTTGTGGAAGCGAAAAGCTGGCTTTCGAAAACCTTTTGAGCTTCGCTGGTCTGTTACGAAACGTAGGGGTGACCATGCGAGAGGCGCCTTCAGCTCAGTCCCATCGAGAGCGCATACATCCCACCACCGTGCTACTAGCCTCGACTCACCTCTTCCGTCTTCCACGCGAGCTCGATCCAGCTCTCCGCCTCTGCCTCGTGCTGAGTCCTCATAATGTTCTGCTTCGTATCCTCTCCCGATCGATTGGTCACATTGACGATGCTTCTCTTCGCCGCAGCCGCGCTTGCGGAACCGTTGACTTTGCCACTCGCACCGCCCCCACCCCCGCCCTCGGCTCCCGAATCGTCCTCCTCGCCTCGATCGGCTTTGGCTTCTTTGCGGGCTTGCACATCTAGCCCATCTAGGTAGTGCATCGAGGGGCGCAGCTGAAGTACCGAGTCCAGGGGAGTGAGATGGAGAGCGCCTAAGGACAGGGCACAGCAAAGCGGTGTTAGTCAATGGTCCGAGATGACCACTTGCAGCGTTTTGCTGCATGTATGCGCTTTGCACGCACCATCACGAATGACGCCGACCATGTACTTGGTCTGGTTGGGCACCAAGGAGCTCTCTAATCGCGTCCTCTCCAACCTCTTGATCTTCGCAGGCAAGTCTTCCTTTTCCCTTTTCACCTTGACTCGTCTCTGATCATCGCCCATCGCAGAGCTGCCAGCGCTCGAATCCTTTCCAAACGTGCCGCCATGCTCCGCGCCCATCGCCATGTTCTGCCCCTTGTCCATATTGTACACTACGGGACGCAGGTCTAGCGGCAGCTCCACCTCGACGCGATTCGCCTTGGGCCTCCAGCGAGCCGCTTCGGAGAGACCCCTTGAGCGTGCCGAGTCGGGGATTGGCAGAGGTTGACCGCGCGGATAGGTGGGGTATTGGAAGAGCGAGAGACGAGAAGATGGGGGAAGGGAAGAGGAGAGGTAGACGGGTAGAGATGCCAAGAGGGAAGGGTCGCGTGACTCTTCTTCTTGTTGCCGAAGAGACGCTTCGGACTTTTTGGGCGATGAGAGGGACGATTTTGGTGGAGATGTTGGCGCAGCTGCCGATGCGGATGCGGATGCGGATGCGGATGCCGAGGATGAAGCTTCTGCTGCTTGCTGGAGCATGTCTGCCGCGGCCCCCTCATCCACGTTCATCTCACTCTGCGAAAGTGCGCGATCTGGGGAAGCAGAGATGTTGCTGTCCGGTCGACTAATGGGCGTACTTTTGCGCTGCGATGATGCTTTTGCTCGAGACCCGCTGCTCTGCCTAGCAGGGTCCGGGGAGGTGGAACGCAGGTCCATAGACTCGTCCTCCTCTCCACCTCTGAACAGCGGTTTAGGCGGCATGTTGCGCATGGAAAGCCAGAGTCGGGGTCGTGACTATACGTGCTTAATGAGCGATGATCGCGTGTACTCGTTCGTGACTGCTCGAGCTTGGATCAGGCAAAAGGGTTGGAATGGTGGTGCAGAGGAAGGCGTGCGTGCCTCCCACCCGAAACCATTCGCGAAGAGATTTGATCAAGGAAATCGCGAGTGTGAGTCAGAATTCAAGATTTTGTTTGAATGAATTCACGTGAGTCTTGATTCATCACAAGCGCCGCTGTTCTTGGTTGTATGGGCCTGCTGCACGATGCGTGCAAATTTGAATGGTGAATATAGCAAGCAGCAGCCAGTCAAGCTATGCATACAGTACATCATCAGCGGCGAGAAAAAGTTGCGCGAGTGAAGGGCCTCAGTGGGGCGCGTACACGGCTTCTCGCTCCGCACCTGCTGGAGCAGCTCATGCTGTTGATGATGCGGATTAATCTTGAGCATCAAGTCAAAAGTCAAAAGTGTAAGTTCCATTTTCGATGCACAAGCTTGATATTCATGACTCTGTATGATGATTGATCGGGTCGGATCCTCTACATTCGTGATTCTGATTACGTGCACTCAAGACTCAAGACTCATCAGATGTTCGGCGTGCATCAAGGAAGCATCTCTTCTCTTCAGCTCGAGCCTTCCCCACAGCTGATGCTATGCGTGCCAGACTCGAATTGTGACTTCTCAGCTTTGCTGCATCACATTCGCTGCCTTTGGCCATACCATACAAAACACCATTCTTGATTACCACGCACGCGCGGCTCAGGTCAGAGATGTACAAGTATCATGCCGCAACATGGCGCATACATTGGGTCATATATCGCTCCTCGACCAGCAAAGCACTGGCTTTGGCTGTCTCATTGTCCTGCCTGCCGCATCGTAGGCATCTCGTCTACATTTCTGGCCCACCGCTCACCGCCGCTCACCGCAGCTCATCTCCCTCCCCTTTGCCACTTTGCACCCGGACCCCTCAGTTTCCTACTCCCTCCCCCTCCCCCAACCTAAACTCCTCCACCCTGATCCTCGTCAGCGTCTGCTTGTGCTGCACCGTCTTCTTGTACCCTTTGCGCTTCTTGAACTTGACAATCTTTTCCAATGCGCCCTTTGTATGTTCCAGCACCACGCCCCTGATCTGGATGGTGGATGGAGAAAGCGTCGCTCCGACGTGTGCTAGTCCAGCTGGAAGCAGACGCGCGGCCCACGACGTCTTGGACTGCACCAATCTGCTACGATTGGCCGCGTGCACGTTGCTCTCGTCCCCACCTGCGCCCAGCGTAGGAGCTGTGATATCTTCGAGGGACAAGTTGCCGGGATACAGTTGCGCTCCTTGTGCATGCACGGCAGACTGGTGGTTCGTATGCAACGGCACAGCTTGCGTCGAGCCTTGTTGTAAGCCCTCAAAAGGTCTGCTTCGTCGACTCAGCACGGCCTCTCCCCTGCCCCGCGTATTGAGCGGATCTTGAGCCCTAAGCGTAAAATCTCGACTGCCCAGCTCGTGCACCCTCTCCAATCGCATCACATCTCCTACCTGTACATCCACCAAGCGCGGTAGAGTAATGATATCACCTGCTCTGACCAGCAGCGTCCGACCGACGAGAGAGAGGACGGCATAGTGCGACGGCTGAGTGCGCAGCAAAGAGAGTGCGGAGCGCGTAGAGGTGATGGATGAGGCGTCTGCTGTAGAAGCGGAGAGGGCGTAGCTGGAAGGCGAGACTGGCACGTAGGATGAGGTGCTGGAGGTGGAGGTGGAAGCGGTGCTGGCTTGTGCTGATGCTGATGCTGGTCGTGCGACGCTTGGCGTGTGGCAGAAAGATCGAACGGCTCGAGCGCCCGCACTCGCACTCGCACTCGCACTCGCGCTTGCGCTTGCGCTGCCCACGCGTGGCAGCAACAAGGATCCTACTCGAGATGCAGACATTGCTTCAAGATTTTTGAGGGAGCGATCCTAGCGAAGCTGTTTGCAAGCAATGAGTCTGTCCTTGGCTACTTTGCCCCCGTTGCTGGACCTGTCTGCACGCCAAACAAACAGCTTGGATGTTCAGCAGAGGCGCGGAATGAGACCCAAAGATCTGTGCGCTAGCGCTTGATGCTGGATGTGATGGTCGAGAGATTATGCCAGTCTTTCAAAGCTGTTCGTTGAAGCCTAATCAGGTTGTGTAGGAGTGGTGAGGGGTGAGTATAGTCAGCAGGGTGCTGAGACGGGTGGGCGTCCAACAGGTCAGATCAGACGAGACACTTCTTGACTCAAGACTGTGACTCAACTCTGGCTGTCAGACACATCACGTGAACAATCGCGCCAGACCCACGTGGCGCGCCGCGCTAAACTTCGCGAACGTCCGCGGACATTCAAATTCAAATGCCTAGCTGATGTTCCGATGCTTATCTGCAGTCGCGACTCGTGACTACGCGAGCGCGCGCGCGGGGGCATGCCATGCAGGGTCGCGTGCGTGCGTGATGATGTGCGCATTCGATTCACGATTCAGTTGGCATTCCTCGCTCATGTGCTCCGCTCCGGCGTGCGGCGTGAGAGGCAAGGAGGAGCTTGTGGGCTGCTGATGAGCGCGCTCCGATAAAGAACGGAGGGCGGGGCGCGCCGCTGCGATGGCTGGCGTCCGATAAGCTGGTCGGCGTGTGGCATGATCACACATACACTGTCACTGTACCTGCGTCGCTGATGTCTGTGTCTGCATGATATGGGGCGGATGGGCTGTGCTGTTATGCTGTTTACGCCTGCTATCACGTATGTGTGCGTCTGTCTCCTCTCAGTTGGTCCCACAGCTCACAGCTCACAACGGCAGAAGAGGGGCGGAGGGCGGGTGGCATGAGCGCGTGAGTGCTGCATGGTGTGGTTGCATGCTACAGTACACAGTTGTGAGTACATCCGCTTGCAGCCAAGGCTTACGTGTCGTGTAGCCCTCTCGAGTCACTCGGAGTGTGAGTGTGAGTGTGAGTGTGAGTGTGAGCGTGAGTGTGAGTGTAGCAGCAGACGTGTTTGGTGCCAAGTGCCATGATCTCTTGCCTGTCGACCCTCATCCATCACCTCCTCTCTCTCTCTCTCTCTCTCTCTCTCTCTCT